ATTTAATGAGCCACAAATGAGAAGTAGTGCTTAAACAGTATAAGACTACAACTTTCCCTTCTGTTGATAAAGGGTGCAGCCATCTTGGATTCTGAACTCCTCTGTGCTGATCCTCTGTGCTGCTCCGAGATATTTCTCGGATGTCCGAGAAACGGGAGCGCATGTAGTCACTTCCGACTTCAAAACTCCGGAATCCGACTCGGAATACAAGTTCCGATGGGAAATGGAACGCACTAAAACTACCCGAAATGGATTGGCAGAGACATTTCAGTGATTTTGAATCATTCTGCGCTGCAGATGGGTTAATTGCGTTAATTTTAATCAGATTAATCATGATGATGGTTTAATCCGCGTTAACCCGTTAATTTTGACAGCCCTACTTTACAGATGTCCAGATTTCCAATTGCCTACTGAGCTTTTTAAATTGGTATTTTAAGCGAAAATATTAGCACCAGTTGATCCGTCGGTTGGGTTACTCGTAATATCGGTATTGTACCAGCAGCTGATTAATTCACTGCTGGTACAATACCGATATTACAAGTATCACATTTTCCGTAAAATGTGGTTTCTCGCAGTTGCCGTACAGAATCATGGGACGTATTCTGTCCTCCAGAATGCCAACCGAACGCCATCTAAGCGCAACAGCGTCGTTTTCCTCGCGTTCGTTGGGATTTTGACGCCAAGAAAACGTTGCATGCAGCGTTTATTTGACGCCACCTGAACGCGTAGCCGGCCGAACGCCGGTGCTGAACACCCGTGTGGACGCTTTGATTTGCTCCAATGAGCAGAAAAATGGTCGGCGCTCACCTGGCACCACGAACACCAGAAAAACGCCTGGTACAGACGTCCGTGTGAACAAGGCCTTACACACAGAGATTTCTCCAGATTCTCTGAATCTTTTGATTATATTATATACTGTAGATCAAGGTTATTATAGTTTTGCATTTTTAAATTCGTTTTTATTTTAATATCGTTTTCAAATTTGCTATGAATTTTAGTTTAGTTTTAGTTTGTTTCATTAATGGTTTTCTTAGTTTTCATTTCTATTTTATTTTTATATATTTAGTTTCAGTTTTAGTTTTAGTAATTATAGTTTGGCACAGTTAGCAGAACACTTCCA